ATAGAGGGTACTTGGGGTAGTGGCGAATATGTCAATATAAAAACTTATCGTCTCTATTGTTATATAAATAAATATCAAAATTCAATCCCAATAGTAACAGTAAAAGCATAGGTTAATAAGTAGAGCCCATTCACACGATCAGTTAAAAAAAATGGCGAGGGCACGGGACCACCCCCTCTTTATTTCATAATAATTGTTGCCGAACATTATACAAATAAAATATATATTTATTATATAATAAAAAATGCCCTTAACGGGTTAGGTTAGTTGGGTTTACATTTGATCTAACATTTCCTCCCGCTGACCAGGATTTAACCAATCATTATCATCATTGTCCCTATCACGCTCTAAGTTTTCTTTTGACATTTTTCCCCAGGTCTCATCATAAGATAAAAATTCTCTCGGCTTGTATTGTCGTTTTGATTTAGAATAGTTGGGGGTCTTATTTTTCTTGTTCTTAGAGGTGGTGGTTTTTTTGTTACTGCTCATTTTTCGTACCTAAATACAAAAAACAAAGTAAGCAAAAATTCGTTTTCATAGTCTCCGTTAAATGAAATAGCAAATTACTTAAAAAATAAATTACGGGCAAGTGGACAAGTAAATATATATATGAGCAAAAAATAACGCTATTGCTGACTTATCTTACGGGTGGAAACACGCTTATTTTTATACTTCACATTCGTTAGATTTAGAGAACCTGCCAGAAAGAAAAATACACGATTAGTAATTACATTACCCAAATCCAACACCAGTTTTTTTCTCTATAAAGAAACTCCGCTCGGTCATAAGTTCCAAACACTGAGCCTATTTTGTTATTTTTTCTGGTAAAATTAACCTCCCTTAGATTCGACGATCGCTTAAGGTGGGTTTAGATCTGACGATCTCGGAGATGGCGGAGTTCCTGCAACATATGAATTTGGACCAAACTACTGATAAAGAACGTTATACTCATTGCCCTTATAGCCTTTTTAGGATGTAAAGCATCCCTGCTTCGCAGAGTCCCATTTGCGCTTTTTCTTATCGCAGTACCATATATAATAAGAAAAGGTTTTCTAGATATTCGTAACGGTAATATTCGTTATAAATCAGCCGTGAGAATTAATTCTGCAGAAATGTGGTACAAACCACATGCCGATTTCAAGTTTATTACGAACTTTATTTTTTTATGCGATATCTTTTAATGCTATAAAACGGTAATAGGAAAAAATTCTACAGTAACACATAAATACTGAAGTACATAGAGTACATACCATAATTTATACCGATTATAATATGGTTATGTCTTGGTATGAGGATGCTTTGCATCTAAAATAATGCACATATTTGTTTACAGGTATTTCTTTGAATATTTATTTTTATTTCGAATCCGGAAATCACAATACTAAAATCGCATGTTGGGTAAACATCCACGCGATGTTTTATACACGACCGAATCATCTAATAGATCAAAATTTGAATTATTTATTGCCGTTATACAACTATCATAGGATGTAGGAATATTTATGGCTTAGGGAATCCACCCCTAAAAACAAATATGAGGCTAATCCTCTTCATTTATATTTTCCATACAGGAAGGTTGGCTACCTCCTATATCGGGCATACTAATATCACTATCATTTTGTGATGCAGATATATTAGGGGTTGAGGTAGTATTTGCCAAATGAGGTAAAGATAAGTATGTCGCATTATCTAAATTTCTACCTACATCATTAGTGTTATGGCCTGAATTCCCATCCGCATCATTTACATTACTTACATT